AAGCTACAACAAGGATCGGGCATTTACCACACTGGACAGGGACAATGACCCGTGGGGAGATAATTGTGCAAACCACCCACAGCTCACTTCAGGCTGGTGGCACGGTGCTTGCAGCCACGTAAATCTAAACGGCGTGTGGGTCACTAATTCAAATAACTATGTATATTGGAATCCGAATACCAGGGAGAAGTGTTCGTTTGTAGAAATGAAAATTCGAAAGAAACAACTAGGGAGCTTTCATCAAGTTGGTGCATTTTAATGTGTTTGAATGTTGATGAATTTCTTGAACTTTTGATTATTGTGAAAATAACTTTAAAAATATGACAAATAAATAGGTAAAGAATTTTATAACGGATTCAAAACGTTTTAACCTTTATAATAATTCTTTAGCATTTACATGTCCAGAATCTGGTCAAAAAGGTAAAGTAACAATGTTCAATAACAATGTGCAATAACAACGTAGATTTACATTAGTATAACAATATTAAATAACAATACTCCTCCAAACTTTAAACCCCACAATTCTACAAAGGGAAATACATATCGTATGTCAGAAGTGGTTCACCCTTGGCAAGCGTGTCGCAGAAGAGACCACAGTATTGGCACTCAGGCCAACTGTCCCATTATCGTCCCATGTGCCGAACGTCGGCTAACATCGGTAGACTGTTGTCACCTTTCAATTACATCAAATATGATACAGAATAATGGCTGACCCGAGTTCTGCATGTGTCACTTGTGAATTTAACGAAGTATAAATGTGGTTAGACAAATTGTCTACATGCATGCCACAGCAACGGTCGCATTTTATGTACAAATGCATGCCAAATGAAATATTAACCTATCAATAACGATCTATATAGTTGAATACAATTGTTGTTATGTTTTTCTTTTAATATGTATGATTTAATAGATTTCTTTTTTTTTTTTTGCAAGCCCAGTATTCAGGTTTAATCAATGTGTTGGTACTTTTGGCTGAATAGGTGTGCTTTGGTTTGCAGTTTTAAACTTGGGCTCTAAACTGTTCACCATCAAGTTTTGTTATAGTTGAATACATTTGTTGTTATTTTTTTTTTTTAATATGTATGATTTAATAGATTTCTTTTTTTTTTTTTTTGCAAGCCCAGTATTCAGGTTTAATCAATGTGTTGGTACTTTTGGCTGAATAGGTGTGCTTTGGTTTGCAGTTTTAAACTTGGGCTCTAAACTGTTCACCATCAAGTTTTGTTTGCGGTTGCAACTTTTACATAAATAATTATCCAAAATTCTTTAACTCTTTCCCTCCGGAATTATTTTCCACGTTCTGACGGAATTATCTATTTCGGGTTTTTGTTACGCACTACTATGTTTTCTCTAAACCTTCATAACTTTTTTGTTTTTAATCAGAAAATCTTAATATTGGTATGGAATTAAAGGGAAATGCATGCTCCTTGCAAACAAACAAGATTTGGGTTTAAATTTTAATAAATAAATGTGATTGTGATATAAGGAAAATAAAAATCTATTTAAAAAAACTCACCAAATGTTCACAAAACGCTCCTTTGAAGTCACACGAAGAGAAATATATAATCCAAAGTGTAACAAAAATGTTTTTTTTCTGAACTATATTCATATGTGCATCACAAATAATAAAGATCAACTTTCAAAAAAGAAAAAATTAAACCTCAGAGCACATTATCCATTGTCACCACCACACAAAAAATTAGGAAAAAAATTCAACTAATTCCACTGGAGACAATCTGTTGCTATTTAAAAAATAATTGCACTGTATCCTTGAATGTAGTAAAATTTATAATAGTAAATGGAGAATTTACCATACATTAGTCACATATTTCCATCTGGGTTTAGCAATAGTAAGCCTAAAAAACAATCCATATGGATGTGCCCTTTAGCTGGGGGGGGCGGGGCTGGTTGTTCATCAGCTGATGAATTACTAATTTCATTATTTTGTCACTAGT